CAAGTTTTTAACTTTAATGTTTTTTTTTTCCAACTGCGAGATATATAGATTTATGTTCCTATTTCAGAAGCTATAAAAACGTTACTTCTAAGGGCTTGTTTGGCTGTTTAATGTTCTTTTAGGCAGCCAGTTGAGGATTTGCATGACAACCAAAAGTTTTTTCTTGTCAAGTGGATAATACGATCAAATCGAAAGGAAAACACGACGCACGTGCATAGATTAAGAAAAAATCCAGTCAAAGTCAGCACGAGCTATATAATAGATAATTATTCAACAAGTTGTTTAGCAAGCATGCATGCGTTATGAGATGATTTTTTAAAGAAAAAACATGATTTTTCACATTACATTTTTTTTGTTTAATTTCGATACCAAAATCACGTCATTCTGGCAGCATTTAATAATAAAATAAAATACTTTAACGATGGTTCGGTAAAACCCGAAAATTTTAAAACATTAATCATCGGAAATTCTTGCAAAAACCAAGCATGCACTATATTCCGAATTCTGATATCACATAGTTTTTAAAAATCCAATTATTTACCAACAAATACATAATTTCTGGAAATCTGTGCATTTTTCTAGATATGCTTTCGAAATGATCACTAAAAAAAAAAAAGAGGCAATACCTACCTTGATTCTGATTTCGGTCCGAGGCAAGGTAGTGCTGTGGGGTTTGAAAGGCTTGTCGTCGTCGTAGACCCACAACAGATGCACTCCATTCTTGAAGCTGTACCGCTTCTCCAACGGCACGTCGTACGGCTTCTGCAGCTTGAAGTTCCGTTCCGTCAGCTGAACTCGTTTGAACCCGTCAGCGGGATCCGAATCTCGTCGCTGAACATCAACTTCTGCCGTCGCCAAAACTGCCGTCCCGATCGCAAGAACAGACAAAACAGCAGCTGCCATGACGACCATCCCCCTGAAGAAAATAATGATGTCTTAGTTTCTTTCTTCTTTAGGTTATGAATAGTGAAAGCTATATATATATATATATATTAGTTTGGCATGAACCAATCTCCTGAAGGAATAATGATGGTGACGTCCGGCGGCCTGCTGGGCTGAGATATGGAATAAATGGGTATTCTGCGTTCATATTTGTTACTGACCCCTGGATATAAGGTAGAGGACGATCAAATTCGATTTCGGAAAGGTAACTTTCCAAGCTTAGGCAGAGTGATTGGTTTGTACAAATTCCAGAAGTTGGGGACTCTCATAAATTAGGACCAACTCTATATATTACTGCCAAAGGTAAGCATCCCGGGAGAAGTTAAAACTGCATGCCCAGTACTGTAAGTAGCTGGTTTGATTTTTTTTTATGTGAGATTAATTAACCGAAATTTGAACGAGATTTTTTTGTTGTTTTTTGTTTTAATAGCAATTCAATCTTTATCTTTTCTACTTTATATATATTTTCAAACTGGTTACTTAAATTTTGATTCCTTCCGTCTTACAAAAAAAAGTAGGATTTGGCTTAGAACTTGTCCTTTAGCACCATTAGATTTGACTAGGTCCTGCGGGCCCGGAACTCCAAAGTGGTGTTCGGTGATGGAAGACACAAGATTCTGAGGTGTTATAATCTTATATTCTTATTAGAAGTTAGAGTATGCAAATTTAATCGGATCGGATTAATTACCCTTTGGTTTCGGCATAAATAGAAACCAAAAACCAGACCATTCTTTAAATAGTTTAACTGGAAGCAGATCAAACGACGGGTGGGTTTGATACCATTAATATTTTATAATTTATATCCCAATATTAATGGACATCACATAACACAACATAATATTCACAAAATATTATTTATTCTCCACCTTTAGAAGTCGATAGGCACTGTGTAGTGAGATTAGAAAATATGATGACTATTCGATAGTATAAATAAGAAACAACATTTTGTCATGTAAAAATATGGTGCAGGTCATTGGTGGTGACCAGGCAATCCACCCACCATCCACCCAATTAAATGCGGGTAGGAGATTTATCAATCCGCAATATCCATCCACATCAATCACCTAACCACTGAAATTTCGGTTATTTGTGGGTGGATCAATGTCAAACCGCAGATAAACCATCCATATGCCTAGCCCTTATGTTATGGTCCACTGAAAATCTGAAATACACCTCAAATTTTGCAGAGGATTAGACCATCTCCATCCAATTGCTTATTGCTATTGCTTATTGGGTGGAATCCTATGTGGCAATAGCTTTAAGCAATTGCAAGGATGTAGCACTTCTTTCTTATTTAGCAAGATTGCTAAATAAGCAATCCCCTTTGCAATGCCACATAAGCAATTGGGACCCACACATTCATGCACTCAAATTCTTTCTTTTTTCTTTCTTTCTTTTCTATCCACTTTGTACACATAAAATGTATTATTAAGGAAAAGAATATGTAGTAGGTCCCATCAATTGCAATTGCTAACTTATTGCAGGGATGCAGGTGGTTTGAAAGGTTGAATTGAATAGTTGCTAAAGTTAGTGATGTGGATGTGGGGTCCATTTATGAAATGGCTAACCTATTGCAGGGATGGAGATGGTCTTACAATGTAGCCTAATAGGTTATAAAACTGGTTCAAGATATAGAATGGTTCTGGAAACATGATTTAACAGAGAATACAGAGATTTCATTGCAAGAGTAAACAAGTAAGTAGACAAGTGGTCTCTTGCCTTACCCTTTCTTGGTTGAGAAGAAACCACACAAATCTCGATGAACTGATATACGAGATTTAGCAGTATAGATACACTCCCGAATCCATTGTAAAAAATCTTGAGGAAATCCTATCACTGACTTAGACGTACTCAACTAGAAATTTTCAATTAACGAAATCGAAAGCCTTCATCAAATCTACTCTAATGGCACAATGAGAATATAAGTGTTTTATATTATATCCCCTACTAACTCCCGAGCCATAAGTATGTTATTGACTATTCTTTGTTCACTTATAATGCAAGATTGATTTGGACTAATAATGCTCCTAAGCACATTCCTCATCCTAGCTGCCAATTTTTTTATATGATTTTATATAGAACATTCACTCAAGAAATAGGCCTAAACTTGTTTAAGTGTATTGCAGTAGCTAGGTATTTTTGGTATAATGTGCCATGTCCTATGATAAACCGTAACCTACTATGAACCCCTTAGGCTTTGGTGCTCGATGACTATCCATAGCAAACACTACATTCCTCATATCCTCTACAGATACTTTAGCATATAAACTCTGCTGCACCTCTTTGCCCAAATTTTTTAACAATAACTTCTCGAATATCTCTCGATCGAATTGCATTAACATTTGTATCAAACAGTTTTGATAATATCAGAACCTCTTCTACCATATATAAATTCTTTTCTCATAGGTTACGTATTTGCTCTTCTGTTAATTTTCCCCCCGTTCCGGTAGGTTCCATCATTTAGTTCTTTGAGTAGAAAATAAAAGTAAAATATAGAATTCGTAAAAATAAGTAAAATACAGAGTGAACCTTAAAAGATGATAGTACTAGTTATAAATGGTGAATTGTACCGTGCACTAATAAAGTATATGTGATACTGGCATTTCTCAATAAAATCAATGTATAATATTAATCATCACAAAATAACACTTTCAATCTTTGAATGGAGTAAATTTTAATAAAGAAACCTCTTTTTCGTAAATCAACAGCTCTTGCAATAATCCCCTCGCAAATTTAAATAAAAAATAACTAAAACTTGCATTATAAAAAAAATTAAATGACTAAATATCACTCTAGTTTTACAATTATCGCTCCGCCTATTGTCCGGGTTCTTTCTCTCTTTTCATGCTAGACATTAATTTCCTTACTTATTTTGCTAAGTCTGGAGAGAACATAGTTGAGGAGGAATTTTACAATGCTATATAGTATTGGTGCTATAGGTGTTTGCATTTATGGTACAACTTGAAATTGTACTTTTAACGTTATGGTACAACTTTAGATTATACATATACTGTTTGTACAAATTCTTTTATGATACAGCTTGAAGTACCTTTATGTGATGATACAACTTCAATTGTAAAGTTGTACCATAACATAATGGTACAAATTCTTTTATGGTACAATCTAAACTTATACATTTCATAATATACAACTTTAAGTTGTACATTAAAGCACCAATAGTATATAGCATAGTAGAAATGCTCCATAGTTGAGACTTTCTAAGTTGTTCAACTGCTACCTTTATAACTGTCTAGGTGATAGATTAGGAGATTATGATACATAGAACTTCAGTCCCAATTCCCATAACTCTCACATCTGTGAGTATATTCCCATATACATCAATCTGAAGTCTTATAGTACTTCTTGAATTCGTGCTCTTTACCATGCTTTGGAAGAATTTGGTATTTCTGTCTAAGAAATTGTTCTTCATTTTTTTTTTTTTCAATTTTAGAAGCTAGACCATACACCTCTATTCAACTATAGGAGATTATGAGGCAAGGCATTCTAACACTTCTAGTTGAGCCACAATAAACTTTGATTGTGCAAACTACCTTCACTCGTTGAAGCCTCCAGAAAATGAAATACTTACAAAAAAATTTATTATGATTTTCCGGCGATACATTCATAATTAATGATTATGCTTTGACCCATAAGCATTTATAGTTTATTATCACGATCTACCAATTTGATTTATGATTCAACTAATTTCACAAAGATTTCTTTTATCATTAAGTCAACTGGATTTTGAAGACCAATTCAAATCTCAGCTACGTTTAGTATACATCTCTTTCCAACTGAAAACAAAAAGTGCCAAAAGAATTTATTTCGAACATCTAGCTTCATAAGTAGATGATCAATTACACGATGAGAATGAATTACAAATCGAAACATCAATTAAACTTTAGAACATATATAATAGAGATGCAACAAACACTTAGTACAACGACAGTAGAGCAATTAAACCAAATAATAACCTTCCTCCAAAGAGACCCACAAACAAATTAGAGAAGCCAAATAACCAGAAACCAACATCCACACATAATTAATCATGATCATAATCAGTTCACAAAGGCACAACGTTTCCTAATCTCCCCTTCGTTTCCTGTGAGGACACCAATCTCACCCATCTTCACCATTGATTCACCAAAATCCCTACCAAAAGTTGCCCCAGCAGCAGCAGAGGTGGACTGGCGGTTGACATAAGCTCGAGTTACATGATCATTAAGAAGTGCTGCATCAGTGGTAAGAAGACCTCTGTTCTGCCTCACAGCTTTGTAGAAATGTGCATCAGAAATCGTGGAGCTTCCTTGGTCCAGCTCAAGAAATGGGCCGCCGCCACCAGGCTTGCATTTCTTCTTCAGTTCGGAGGCGAAGGTTGGATCCAGGGCCGGGTCGGTATCGCTTCTCCCCGTGAAGTTGTATAGTCTATCGGTGATCACGAAACAACTTGCAACGCCGATGGTGTGCGCTCCTGAAAGCAACAGGATAAAGCAAAATCGTCTGTGAGTAAATGGTATAAGATCTAGTTCGATAATTTTTTTTCCGTGATCTATTCAAGTGGTGGCATCTACATTTTTTTTTTCATGAAAATATCATAGTGGTAGACTAGATAGTGAAAATTACATTTGAGATCATACGAGAACTTGAAATCCATCCATAACAAATGAATTTACAATCGATAGAAAATTATCCTCATTAGACGAACAACTAAGACATGTATTGTTTGTTCAGTTTAACGATTGAATGAGACTCTAAACTTAAACTTTAATTATTTTTAATTGTACTAGGAATTTATTAATGATGTCAAAGAGTTTAGCATGTTGAAAATTTGAAACCCATTGACTAATTTTTATCGGTTGTAACAACAATAACTTATTTGAATTATTGTTACCTGACAAAACAGCCAGGTCTTTCTTAGTTAAACCCTTCGATGCAAAGTTTTGTTTGAGTTGAGCTATGTTGAAATTCGAGGATGGTAAATTTTCGTCTGCCTCCTTGCTAAGTGAGATTCTTCCATCTCTACGTCCAGTTTCAGCTTTCCAAAATGATCCACCTGTCTAAAAATAGAGTAAAAAAAAAACCCAGAGAACATACGTAAATAAAACATTTCTAAAAAAAAAAAAAATAGTAATTCGTGGGACGAGCCTAGAACATTACCAGTCGAACCGCATCACGAGCAGCCAAGGCCAATATATCGGCACAAGAAACCACACCAGGACAACTCTTCTCAATCGCAGACTTCACATCATCAATCACGTCGTACCCTCTTAAGCTGAAGTTGGGCGATGCATCTTTCTCTGCGTCACCTTCCTCTGCTGCATCCAAAAGCACTGAAGCCTCACATCCCTTCAAAAAAATGCACATTACAACGTTATTTGCATATGTCAATAACGTCTTCTGACATAAGAGAGCATGTAAGTAAGTTGTAGCAACTTAATTACTCGAACGAAGCAGTCATGGAAATGGAGCCTGAGCAATGCGGCAGCAAGGGTCACGTCCTTGGAGATGGCCTTGCGAATAGTCTTAAGAGCTATCGTCTCTGCATCAGGGCAGCTCTCATCGTAGTAACCGGTTCGCAGACCGGCTCCATTGGCCCGGTTCAGGCCTGAAACAGCAAGAAGAACTAGCTGGATGAAGAAAATCGACACAACCCTTGTCTGAACCGCCATTTCTGTGTGTGTATGATGAAAGGCAGCAGCTAAGGTGTCAGTGGTTGCGATGAAAGAGTTAGTGTTTGTGCTGCTGTTTATATAGTTCAGTGGAACTAACTTATTCGTTATAATATTATATTGTATGGGAAAAGGTCAAACAGTCTTGTATCGCTGCTTCACAGTTCACAGGTCCAACAAACAAATGGAGCCAAGTTTAGCAATCCGAAGGTCAGAAGGATTGCGACTTAGCTTTTGTTTATTTATTTATTTATAAATAACGACTTAGCTTTTGTTTTCTTTCCTGTTTTTGTTTCTCTTCTTGCGTTGACTTCTTTGGACAGCCGGCTCCTTGACTTTGTAGACATAGCATGCATCTTGTTGGAGTTATGAAAGAATACAGCAAGTATGACAACTAACAAGTGAAAGTAACCAACGTCGATTATGGTGTTAGATGAATTCATGTGTACAGTATATCATCTGGTTTACCACCATTATGATGATCGTCGTAAAACTTGAACTAAGAATCGCTTCAAGAAAAAAATAATATTGTTGGTTTAATGCATCAAATATAGTGCAAGATTTGAATTTAGGTGAATTATTATCACTTAAATTAATTGTGTGGGATTTCATTTGGATGAATGAATTTCCTTTATAATTCTTTTGGCATCTTACAAACCCTTTTATAAGGCTATAAATTGAGTTTCTTTGTGGTTGGGAATAAAAATATGCAACAAACATGCAAGTGATAAACGTTTTTGGATGTTCTACGGTCGTATTCCATAAGGTCTTTTACTGCGCAACTACTCAAACCATACCATCTTTTCGAACAAGAATATGAAAGACTCAAGGAGTTTTATTCGAATAGGCATTAAAGTAACACAAGCAAGAAAAGTAAAAGATTTTTAGGGATTTTTTCAAATGATATAGATGTGTGAAAGTAAAGAATGAGGTATCACGAGAGGGTAATTTTTTTAACAAACTAGATGATACTAAGTACAATGAATATATTAGTATATTATAGAATCATATGCGTCAATGATAAGAAAGTATTAATACTAGATAAACATCGATGATCATTGTGTAATCAAAACTAAAAGCATCCATACACACATGATTTGCATTAAAATTTAAAAGCATAAACACAAGCATCATATGAAATCATGACATCAATACATATAAAGATAAACTAGTTCAACTTCCGAGGAAATAAATTTCGAAATAGCTACGCAAAAAAGAGAAGGAGTGTAACACCATCAATGATGAAGGCATATCCTTAGCTGACCCGTCTCCTACGAATGTCAATCTCTCACTCGAACAAAGTGTCTACAGAAGTATTGAATGGAATCGTGCAAGCTACTAAACTAATGAGTCTAGCTCCCTATTTATAGAGGTAGAACTCGGCCAAAACCTTCTTAACCCTAACACGACAAGTTCTCTCTTACTCGGGGACGAAGCATTGTTAGAGTGTTGTATAAGATCCAGCATAACCTTCTCCCAACAACTCGAGTTATTGGGACCAACTGGTTCTTGGCATGATATCAGAGATGGTTGACCAAGTGGTCGTGTGTTCAAATCTCCGCGACCCCCAATATTAACGGCTTATTAAGCACAAAGTATGGTGGACCTGTGCAAACTTCAAGCCCGTGAGTTGGCTTTCATTTGAGGGGGCATGTTAGAGTGTGGTATAAGATCCAGCATAACCTTCTCCCAACCACTCGAGTTATTGGGACCAATTGGTTCTTGGCAAGCATAGCCTAAAGATTTTGTTATTTGGGCTTGGGCTGTAGATTGGTGGCTTGGTGGAGACTGGAACTGCCACGTGTTTTCTTCGTGGAGCTTAGCTCCTTAGCCCATAAGAAAACTCTCTTGAAGATTTCTCCATTATTTGACCCAGGTTTGCTTAGGAGGCAGTTGGACCCGGCACTGGCAACGTCATTGGTTCTTGCTCCTGTTTGGACCGAGTGTCCCTCCATTAGGCTCCTCTTAGGGATTATACATGGTTCCTAGTAGGTTTCTCTATAATTGGACCTCATCTTTATCATATAAACTATATATTTTCTCTCTTTGTCTTCCTTGGTCCTCCGGAATCATTTAATGCTAGAGCCAAATCTTCCTGATTGTATTTTACATTGGAAAGCACAAAAACATACCAAGAAGATATAAGAGAATACAAAAACACAACTTAGGTCTATGAAATTCCCATTGATAAAATAGTTATGATTTGAATATAAAATTTATGAGAAAGTACTAAAAATGTATTGATAGAAGGGGAAAATGTATAAAATATGGGAGTGATAACACTATAAATAGATTGTCACTGACACCCACCGATTCTTCCAACTCTTTTATTCTCATAAAATTGTAGAATATATTCTTGAGTGTTTTTTTCTTTCTGTTGTGAGTTTTCTACCTACTACAAAACTTTTCACTCTAAATATTATTCTTTGATCATTATGGATTTAATGGCTTGTCCAATACGTGATTTTCTTCCTCCACTTTGGAGTGTTTTCCACGTAAATTTGATGTTTTGTCTTCGGTTATTCTCAGCTCTGTTTTATTTTAATTTTAAAATTGGATTTGCTTCCACTAATGCTATTTTTTCCATTGTCAAAAGTCTTAAAATGAAAACAAGTATTAAAGTTTTGACAACCAATTGAACTTATCAACAAGATGACTCCAAAGTTTGACATTGAGAGGTTTGATGGCAAGATATCATTTATCGATATGGAGAATTCAAATGAAGGAGATTTCAAAGTAGAGCATTGTTGAAAAGAATTTACTGGGTCTCGAAGTCAACCACAGACTTTGATTGATGTCAAATGAGAAGAGCCCGATGAAATGGCTCTTATTGCTATTCAATTACGTCTATCAAAATTGGTTTTTGCAGGAGTGGATCCAGATTTTCTTTTCTGTGTTTTCTGATGAGTGCAAGATTTTGGTCGACCGGGTCACTAAACTATTTTTGGTTATTATTATTATTGTTTTTGTTGTTTATTTGGATATTATTTTGGTTATTTTGGGGTATTATTACTTCTTGTTGAAGAAGTAAACGGTTAGGAGTCGGTCTAAGATTGGGTTTCCTTGTTCGGGAGGAAAAGGGTTTGTAGGGTTTCCCTATAAATATGTACTTAGCACCAGCGTTTTATTCACCAGAAAAATAATAAACTAGTACTTTTCAGTTTTTCTTAGTTCTCGTTTACGAAACCCCGACACGTGAAACGTTCACACATTATTTTCATATATCATTGTTGTTGTCGTCCTCGAACCAGGATCTCCTCAATAGTGTCAACAGGCAAGAGTGCGGACACTAATCGATGACGGGAAAGTAGAGTGTGAGAGGCTCGAACGGGTTTCACAGATTATTTGGTTAGATCCATCATTCGCTTTGCCTAGTTGTAGATCCTTCAAAACCTGGCTAACCTCTGGCTGGGCTCCTTGATGACCATCCTTCACCAAAATTATTGTTGGGGGAAATGATTTATACGAGACGTCTGGCTTTCTCTGGCAGTTGATCGAGGAGTGCAACGTCAAAGGATCGAGGAACATGGCGATGGTTGTGATAAATGGTGAAGTGGAAATTACTTCTCTTTGCTAAAAAAAATTTGATTAGATCTTTTGAGAAGATTATTATGTTGGTTTTGAGAACTTTGGAGTCGTTCATTCACCATACATCACGCTCTTTCTTTGGTGTGTTCATTATTGCATTGATGTTACACTTGTAATCTAGTGTTGATGGGAGGATACTTGTGTTGTATCCATATATGGAGAGAGCACTGAGAAGTTGTTATCTAGTGGCGGAACGACAGGTCTAGTTTGCCACTTGAGGGAAGGAATTCTTAGTTTGGAGATCTTTAGTGGTGGTTCAACGTTGTTTAACAGGAGATATTGAAAGATCTTCAAAACTCAAATCGACGACCATGAATGTCAAAGTGGATCGACAAGGTTTAGAAGAAATCATCATCATCAAGTTTAGTTTAATGTCAATGTTTGTTTAGACTTTAGTTTGAGTTATGTTTGTTTTATGTTAATTGTTCTCCAAAAGCAAGCTGGTACAATTTGTCTTGTAGTCCCAAGCTTGAGTATTTAAACTCAACTATGAATGAGAAATACCCAAGGCTTCTAGGGTTTTATTTTCCCCAACTCATCTTTGTTGTTATTGTAGCGGCATCCTTGTATGAGAAGCAGAGGGAAGACGCCCAAAAGGGCTCCCCTTTTGAGTTTGAAGTAATCTTTTGGAATGCTAGTTAGTTCAAGAAGCCACAACATATCCTCATCTACTTGGAGAAGCAGAGTGTAGTAGTCAAACAGTACACTCCCTTGCTAACTTAAAGGTTTGTTTCTTGGAAGGAATTGGTAGCTTGCAACAAAGCAGCACCATATCCTATCCACATTGGAAGACTTAGATGGAATGTTGGCTAGCAACAAAGCAGCAGCATCACCTACCCACATTGAAGACTTGGAAGGAATGTTAGCTAGCAACAAAGCTGCAACATATCCTATCCATATTGAAAATCCAGATAAACCTTTTCAGAAGATGTTTGGGAAGTTAGCTAGCAAGATGCAGCAGCTTCACCATTTGAATTTTGAAGGGAAGTTAGCCAGCCAACAGTGCGGCAACATTCTCAAGTCAAAACTGTATTCTCTCCAAGCTTGGTGTGCACATTCTGTGCTCACCCGCTTGCAGGGGGGTAACAGGAGATATTGAAAGATCTTCAAAACTCAAACCGGCGACCATGAATGTCAAAGTGGATCAACAAGATTTAGAAGAAATCATCATCATCAAGTTTAGTTTAATGTCAATGTTTGTTTAGACTTTAGTTTGAGTTATGTTTGTTTTATGTTAATTGTTTTTCAAAAGCAAGTTGGTACAATTTGTCTTGTAGTCCCAAGATTGAGTATTTAAACTCAACTATGAATGAGAAACACCCAAGGCTTCTAGGGTTTCATTTTCCCCAACTCATCTTTGTTATTATTGTTGCTTGAACAAGGACTTCCAATGAAGTTTTGAAGCATTCAAT